GGTTTCACCATTTTGACCAGGATGGTCTCGATCTCTTGACCTCGTGATCCACCCGCCTCGGCCTCCCAAAGTGCTGGGATTACAGGCGTGAGCCACCGCGCCCGGCCCCTTTGTACGTATTTTTATTATAGTAATTATCAGATTATATCAAGGTTGGTTTCCATATCTGTCTCACTCTAGACTATAAATTACTCAGGATTTAAGGATGTTTCTCCTTTTGTGCCTGGACCTTGGCTGATACCTAACAAGAGTTTGCGTATTCATTGAACAGTTAAAATGAGCCTTTTTGTTTTTGAGATGAGTTCATGCTCTGTTGCCCAGGCTGGAGTGCACTGGCACGATCTTGGCTCACTGCAACCTCCACCTCTCAGGTTCAAGTGATTCTCCTGCCTTAGCCTCTCGAGTAGCTGGGACTACAGGCACTTGTCAGTGCACCCAGCTAATTTTTTGTATTTTTAGTAGAGACATTGCTTCACCATGTTGGCCAGGATGGTTTCTATTTCTTGACCGCATGATCCGTCCACCTCAGCCTTCCCAGAGCGCTGGGATTACAGGCATGAGCCACTGAGTCTGGCCTAAATGGTTAAAATGTGCCTCTTTATAGAGCCTATGCCATTCTTTTTCTCCTTCCCCCTTTCCCTCTTCTCCCTCTTCTTTTCTCCATTTTTTTCTTCTCCTCCTCTTCCTCCTCCTATTCTACTTCCTTTCCACCTCCTTCTTGTTTTTTTGAGGTAAGTTTACTTGCCATAGAAGTCACCACTTCTAAGTGTACAGTTTGACAAGTTTTTTGTTTGTTTGTTTGTTTTAAGTAGAACCAGGGCCTTGCTCTGTCATCTATGCTAGAGGCTGGACTGCAGTGACATGATCATAACTCACTGTAACCTCGAACTCCTGGGCTCAAGTAACCTTCCTGCCTCAGCCTCCCAAGTAGTTAGGACCATAGGTGTGTGCCACCGTGCCCAGCTAAAAATAATTCTTGGGTCAGGTGCAATCACTCAGGCCTATAATCCCAACACTTTGGGAGGCTGAGGCGGGCAGATCACTTGAGGTCAGGAGTTCAAGATCAGCTTGGCCAACCTGGTGAAACCCTGTCTCTACTAAAAATATAAAAATTAGCTGGTTGTGATATAAAAATATAAAAATTAGCTAGTGCACACCAGTAATCCCAGCTACTCCAGAAGCTGAGACAGGAGAATTGCCTGAATCCAGAAGGCGGAGGTTGCAGTGAGCCAAGATCACATCACTGCACTCCAGCCTGGGCGATAGAGTGAGACTGTCAAATAGACAGACAGACAGACAGGTAGGTAGGTAGGTACGTAGGTAGGTAGGATGGATAGATGATAGATAGATAGATAGATAGATAGATAGATAGATAGATAGATAGATAGAGATGGGGGTCTTGCTGTTTCTCAGGCTAATCTCAAACTCCTGGCCTCAAGTGATCCTCCTGCCTTGGCCTCACAAAGCACTGGGATTACAGAAGTGAGTCACTGCACCTGGCCCAGTTTGACAAGTTTTGACAAGTACACACAGCTATACATTAACCACATAATCATGAGATAGAAAAACATTTCTATCTTCTCCAAAAGCTTCCTTATGCCACTTGGCAGTCAATTCCTAAACCTCACCCAGGCGTGGTGGCACACACCTGTAATCCCAGCTATTTTAGAGGCTGAGGCGGGAGAATCACTTGAACCTGGGAGGCAGTGTTTGCAGTGAGCCAAGACTGTGTCGTTGCACTCCAGCCTGGGTGACAGTGTGAGACTCTGTTTTAAGGAAAAAAAAAAAATGAAAGTTTGAATTACAAGCATGTTTCTTGCCCCCTTATTCTGATTTTTTTTTTTTCCTTTAGTGGAAGGAACAAGTAGTGGTGCCCTCCAGCTTTTTGTTGATGCTGGTGTTCCTGTGAACTCAGACATGATTAAGCATTTTGTGAACGAAGCTCTTGCTGAGACCATTGCTGTTATGCTGGGTGACAGAGAACCAAAGAAGCAAGGTCCTGTTGCTGCAAGTGTTTCTGGGGATGCTTCAACAAATGAAATGTATTTGCCGGTATGAGGAATTTTTGATAGATTTATTGAAGAACAGTAAAATAGATGAATTTTAAGCTGCATACCATAAGATCATTGTTTGTAGTAGAAGTATTATTATTTTTAGAGACATGGTCTTTATTTATGGCCTTGGCTGGTCTTGTGGTCTTGAACTTCTGGGCTTAAGTGATCTCCTGCCTCAGCCTTCTGAGTAGCTGGGATTACAGGCACCAGCCTCCATGCCCAGCTTGTGGTAGAATTTTATTCCTTGTGGCTATGATTAAAGTAATATTTCCCATAGCATTTCCTATTAGCATTTTATTTTTAAAACTTTTAAATCTATAGAAAAGTTGCAAGTATGATACAGTGAACATGTGTATACCGTTTACCTATACAGTTGTCCATTGGTACACGTGGGGAATTGGCAAATCCTTGCATACGTTGGTCTCACAGTTGGCCCTGAAAAACCGAAATATATGAAAAGTCAGCCCTCTGTATATAAGGGTTTGTTATCTCACGAATGCTGATTTTGATCCACATTTGGTTGAAAAAACATCCTGGTATGACTGGACTCTTGCAGTTCAAACCTATGTTTTTATTTAGTTATTTAACCAAGGCATTCATATTTATTGATTGATAATATTTTGGCACACTGAAAAAATCTGTTATATCTGCTGTATATCATATATCCTTTAAAAACCATTTGAAAGTTATAGATACCATGACACTTTACCTCAAAAGCATCAGCAGTATCTCCACAAAACAAGTTGCTTTGTTACATAACCAAAATACTGTCATCAGACCCCCCAAATTTAACCTTGACATGTTAATAATATAGAATATAGAACCCATATTTAGATTTCCTCAATTGTTCCAAAAATATCCTTATAGTTTTTTTTTTTAATGAAGATATAGCTAAGAATCACACATTGCTTTGGGTTATTATACAAACTGATATTTTTAATCTTTAAAAAAATACATTTCAGGGACTTTCATTGTTTGTTTAATCAACCTTACCTGCGTTAAAAAGAATTTGTAATCTATTATAGCAATACGAAATTATGCAAAGCCAAAATTTACTCTTTATTACCAGCTGTTTAAATCTATAGTTACTTCTGATCCTTTAGACCACAAAGACATCATTTTATATACAAGAAACATTTAAACATCATTCGATGTATAAACATGAAGTTACATACTGTGTTTTACTTTTGTAGATATTGGTGTGGTATAATGGGATTCATGTGCCAAATAATTGATCTGTAGTTTTGATCTGTTCTTTATTAGCTCATTGGGAAGGCATGCAGTACAGATGTGGTCAGGGTTATGGTTTTTTCTCGGCCAATTACTTTGGTTTGCTTTCTGCCTATAAATTGCATATACTTTCATGAGGGTGATTGGATGAGAAAATGTAAAGAGCTTGGACTTTGGGGTTGGTAAAATCTGAATTTGAATTCCAAGCTCCATTGCTTTAGTTTTACCTCTATAACAGAGATAGAATACTTAGTTTAAATGATGATGGCTTTACTAAAATCTTCTTACAGAGCATCTAGTAAGGCAAGCACTACTCCCTGCCTGCCACTTATCATTCTTTATCTTCAGAATTGTCACGGCTTTTCTTGACCTTTTAATCTTTCACATATATTTTAAGGTTAGTTCTTAAGTTCCATTAAAAATATTGTTGAGATTTCAATGGGAATTAAACCAATTTTGACCGGTTTCATTTAAGAAGGATTGAAATATTTATGGTACTGTGTTTTCTTAGCCAAAGTTTTGCTGAACATTAAATGAGATGATTTATGGACAGAGCTTAATCTGGTGCCTAGAACTTGGTAAATAAATACTCAGTTACTAATAGTTTCTCATCTTTATTATTCGTTACCAATACCAGAAAAATACCTTCAGATCCTTCACAATGATGAGACAATAGTGTTATATTTGAAAACAACATTTTTGTGCTATATGTTTATGCAGTCAAGAAGGAAAAAAAGACATAGTTTTCTTTTTTCATTTAAAAATGAAGGCTGAGTACACTAATTATTGAGCAGTGCTGTAGAAATTCTAATATGTTTCATGGTTTTAAATTGCATTTTAATTTGCAACTCACACGGAATAAAGGGTAATCACCTTATATAAAGACTTTTTAGAATGAAGAAAAAGTTAAGTAATATATTTTTTAAATGGTCAGAGGACAGGAGCAGACAGGTCAAACACATAGAAGAAATACAAATCACCCATGTACGTATAAAAAAAATGAAGATGATCAACCTCACAGATAAGTAAAAAAAGTTATTGAAATTCTATTTTTACTGATCAGATTGGCAAAACTCTAAAAGTCTAATAAATCTGGGGAAAATTGTCATTTTCCTACCTTCTGGTGGTAGTATAAAATAGTAAAATCCTGTACCAGGAAATCTGGCAATATCTATTAAAACTAAAAACATAATTTGTCCTTTAATAGAGTAGTCCCACTTTCGGGAACTTATTCCATAGATATATCCATATATTATACATATGAAATGACTGAAGTCAAGATTATTTGATAACTCTGAGGAAGGGCTCTAGGTAGAAAGGATAAGAGTAGGAGAGAGACTTAATTTTCACTATCCTTTTGTACCTTTTTAATTTTGAACCATTTGAATGATTACCTATTCAACAAATGAATATTAAATTGTTCCACTTTTCCTTCTCCAGTACTTTCCGTCTCCCTGCTGTCTTCATCTCTCCCCAACTCCCACTTTTTCTTATCCTTCCATTACTTTTTATGTGCTTTGTTTTTTTGTGCAAAAAGACTGATTTTTTTTGGTATCTTGTCAATCAGTTAAAATGCTTCCTTTCTGTTTTATGCCTTTCCTTCATGTTTGTAATTGGATTTGATCTTCGTCTTTGTCTATTTAATCTTTCTGTCTTCTTTATTTTTAAAATTTCAGCTTTTATTTTAGGTATAGGGGATACATGTGTAGGATTGGTATGTCTATATATGGGACCCAGGTAGTGAGCATAGTATCCAAAAGTAGTTTTTCAACCCATTCCCCACTTCTTCCCTTCCACTCTCTGCCATCATAGTCCACAGTGTCTGTTGTTCTCATGTTTATGTCTATGTCTATGTGTGCCCAATGTATAGCTGTCACTTGCAAGTGAGAACATATGTTTTGCTCTCACTTATAAGTGAGAACATTTGTTCCCCTGTTTGTTTGTTCAGGATTATGTCCTCCAGCTCCATCCATGCTGCTGCAAATAACATGATTTTGTTCTTTTTTATGGCTGTGTAGTATTCCATGGTGAATATGTACCACATTTTCTTTATTCAGTTCACCATTGATGGGTGCCTAGGTTGACTCCATGTCTTTGCTGTTGTGAATAGTGTGGCAATGAACATATAAGTGCATGTGTCTTTTGGTATAATGATCTTTGGGGTATATACCCAGTAATGGTCTCAAAAGAAGACATATAAACAATCAACAAACATGTAAAAGTGCTCATCATCACTAATCATCAGAAAAATGCAAATTAAAACCACAGTGAGATACCATCTTAGTCAGAATGGCTATTATTAAAAGGTAAAAAAAAAAAAAAAAAAAACCAGAACGCCATAAATATATGTATATATACTTACTATGTACCCACAAAAATTAAAAATTAAAAAAATCTGCCAGGCACGGTGGCTCTTGCTTGTAATCCCAGCACTTTGGGAGGCCGAGGCGGGTGGATCACACGGTCCAGACATCGAGACCATCCTGGTCAACATGGTGAAACCCCGTCTCTACTAAAAATACAAAACTTAGCTGGGCATAGTGGCACACACCTATAGTACTAGCTACTTGGGAGGCTGAGGCAGGAGAACTGCTTGAACCCAGGAGGCAGAGGTTGCGGTGAGCCGAAATCGCGCCACTGCACTTCAGCCTGGGTAACAAGAGCGAAACTCTGTGTCAAAAAAAATAAAAATTAAAATAATAAAAATAAAAAATCAACAACAAATACAAACCAACAGTTGCTAGTGAGGCTGCAGAGAAAAGGGAATGCTTATACACTGTTGGTAGGAATGTAAATTACTTCTCTATTTTAAAAGAGGGTGCCTTAGAATTCTGTGGGGACCACTTCAGAGGCAATTTCAGTTGCCTGAGACATTCAGCAGGCCAATTGTAGACTAACAGGTAGACGTTCAAGAGATAGGGTACTTAACCCTGCTATCAATTTAAATTATCTCTAGTCTATGAATGAGTTCATATTATTATTTCAAATTACTTTTATTTGGGTGATAAAAACACAGTTTATCTTGTTTTATTAATTTATTTTAGGCAAGAACGTGTACCCCATTGGCTACCCCACAGCCTACACCTCCTCGCTCACCTTCATCATCTCCTAAGGAGTGTGTTTTGGTAAAGACTCCAGATTCTTCTCCCTGTGATTCGGATTATGATATGGCATTTCCTGTGAAAAAAGTATTAGCTGAAAAAGGTAGAAACTTTATTTCTGTTACTCAGTTTTAATTTTAGCAACTATTAAGTAAAGTTTCATGATTTATCTTATAAGATGCTTTATATTAATGTATACATACTTGTTGCTTACTTCTTGCAAGGAAATTTGGAAATTGATTGCTACTTCTTTTTTTTTTTTTTTTTTTTTTTTTTTNTTAAGATCGGGTTTCACCACGATAGCCAGGCTGGTCTTGAACTCCTGACCTCAGGTGATCCACCCACCTCGGCCTCCCAAAGTGCTAGGATTACAGGCGTGCACCACCTCACCTGGTGCTACTTCTTAAAGTATATAATTGAATAGATGCTTAGACTAAGTATACGGTGGTATTAAAAATGATATCTTTTCAAGGGTTTTTTTTTTAATGCTCTACTAAATTTAGGAATTTTCCCATTAATGGCCACCACCACTCTCATTATTATTATTAATTATAATTGCCATTATTTGTATGCTAAAATGGTAAGGAATATCTGAAGCAATGTATCTTGCCATCCTAAGGAGTCGTTTACTGACTACTATCTTTTTTTTAAAAAATCATTAGGAGATGATATGCCTGCCATCATGCTTGCTAATACTCCAGCAGTTACCCCTACTACTACACCTCCACCAGCGGCAGTTTTTACCCCAACTTTGTCAGAGATTTCTGTTGATAAATTGAAGGTATCAAGCCCAGAGCTTCCCAAGCCATGGGGTGATGGAGACCTGCCACTGGAAGGAGAAAACCCCAACTCTCCTCAAGAAGAACTTCATCCGAGAGCTATGTAAATGAGAACATAACTAGTAACTGTACATTTCAAGTTAAGTTTGACTTATGTGATCCACTGAAAACATAGCAATATTATACAAAGCTTTATAAACCACAGACTACCTTATACTTTGAAAGAAAGAACTTTCATAAATGTTGAATTTTAAAAAAGTATCAAATTTATTTATGCCTTCACCTTTTTTCTTAAAAGATTTGAAGCAGATTGAATTAAAGGTATCTGTTATATTGTTAATAAAATAGAAAACAGTTTCTCCCTATTGTGGATCATTATTTACTATCATCAGTTAACTTTTGTATTATATATCTCTATGTAGATTTATTTGATGCCTGGAAGACCTTTCAAGATGGCCTATGATTAAAGCATGAAAACAATTTTTTAAAATCTTGTTAATTATAGTAGTGCAGATTCAAAAAAATATTTTGCTAGAGGAGACATAGTCTTCGAGTCTGTTTTTTTATGTCAAAGTGAATAGTGACCTAACAAGCTCAAAATATGTCTTTATTTTCTTAGTGTAATGTCTGTGGCTAAGGATGAAGAACCAGAGAGTATGGATTTCCCTGCTCAGCCTCCACCTCCAGAGCCAGTTCCCTTTATGCCATTTCCTGCCGCCACCAAGGCCCCTTCTCCCTCACAGATGGCAGGTTCTGATTCATCAACGCTGGAGAGCACATTGAGTGTTACTGTCACTGAAACTGAAACTTTAGATAAACCCATCTCTGAAGGAGAGATTTTATTTAGCTGTGGTCAAAAATTGGCCCCCAAAAGTAAGTTAATTTGTGTTAATTGATTTCATTTGTTAGATTATGGTAATTCCTTAAGTAATCCTTTTCTGTTTAAAGTGTTTTTAGTTAATTTTCAAGATTTAACATGGTATAGTAGAAAGAATAGGGGGCCCAGTACAATTTAGTTAACTTTTCTGGATCTTAACTTCAGAAAGTCAAATCTTCCCTATAATCCCACCCTCCAGAAATAATATCACCCTTTTTTTAAATTTAGTCATTCTGTTTACAATTGAAACTCTGGGAATTCAAAATTAACATCCTTGCCTGTGAGCTTCTTATAGACACCAGAAAAGGTTTCAACCTTGTGTTCCGCATTGTTCTGCTGTGCTTTGTCCAAATGAACCTTTATGAGCCGGCTGCCATCCGGTTTCACGCGGATTCTCTTGCCCACAATTTCACTTGCGAAGACCAGGTCCTCAAGGATTGCATCGTGCACAGTTGTCAGTGTATGGCTCCTGGGACGCTTTTGTTTATTTTTTGTATGGCTTTTTCGAGTTGGCTTAGGCAGAATTCTCCTCTGAGCGATAAAGACAACATGCTTCCCACTGAACTTTTTCTCCAATTCGCCTACTAGCCGGACTTGGATTTTCTGGAAAGATTTTAGTTGAGGAACAGGAACAAAGATTATGATAGCTTTCCAGCCACCACCAACTTCAATTTCCTTGGCTGCCGTAATATTCAGCTCCCTGAGCTGAGCCTTGAGGTCTGAGTTCATCTCTAGCTCCAGAAGAGCCTGGGAGATGCTGGACTCGAACTCGCCTGGGTTCTCGCCATTGGGCTTCACGATCTTGGTGCTCGAAGTGAACATGGCTTTCTCCTTGGTGAGCGCCGACTTAGGAAAAGCAAATAATATCACTCTTAATGGTTTGGGGTAGACCTTTCCAGTCTTTTTTGTCTACACGTATATAGACACATAAATACATACGTATGTGGATGTATGTTTACCTTTAAAAATAGGATTCTACTATCCATATTGTTTTGACACCTGAATTTTTTTTTCTTTTCTTTCTTTCTTTTTTTTTTTTTTGAGACAGGATCTCACTGTGTCATCCAGGCTGGAGTGCAGTGGCATGATTGTGGTTCACTGCAGCCTCAACTACCTGGGCTCAAGCGATCCTCCCACCTCAGCCTTTTCAGTTACTGGGACTACAGGCACCCACCACCAGCCCCAGCTAACTTTTATATTTTTTTGTACGGACGAGATTTCACCGTTTTGTCCAGGCTGGTCTCAGACTCCTGAGCTCAAATGATCCACCTGCCTTGGCCTCCCAAAGGACTGGGATTATAGGCATGAGCCACTGTACCCAGCCTAAAACCTGAATTTTTTTTAACCTAATAATATATCGTGGATATCTTTTAACATGACTCCATGTAAATCTACTTTATTTTTTTTTTATGGCTGTGTAGTCTATTTAGTGCTTTAATAGAGGGCATTTAGATTGTTTGCAGTGCTTTCAGTCTAGACACAACTCTCTAATTACCATCCTTTCATGTATATATATATCTTGGTGCACTTATCTGGTAGCTTCCTTAGAATATATGCCTAGAAGTGAAATTACTGAGTCTACTTTAAAGATACATCACCAACATGCTCTCTAGAAAGGATTTTTTTCTTTGCTTTAAGTTCAAGAAAGGATTTTAGCTCTTAGTTTTAATCAGTTTTAATTATATCAACAGTATATGAGAGTACCCATTTCTCAGTTTCATAACTACAGTTGATATTTATAGTTCTTAATTTCTAACAAACTGGTAGGTAAAACAAAAACCTCATCTTCGTTATAAATTGTCCTTTTAAAAAAAACTGGTAAGATTGAGTAGTTTGTGAATTACTTGCTTATAAACTTTGCCAATATTTCTATTGCAGTATAATTTTAAACCTAATATTCTATGACTTTATGGATAGATTATTTGCTAAAGTTGTGTTTCTTTTTTTTTCTAAATTTTTATATTTTAATTTCTAGTTTTAGAAGATGTAGGACTGTATCTGACAAACCTTAATGATAGCTTATCCAGCACTCTGCATGATTCCGTTGAAATGGTAAGGAATGATTGACTCCAACACTGAATTCTGACAGGAAGAATATCTTTATGAATTTGTTGCCAATAGTCAGGTTTTTTCTCAATTTTTTGAGTTATAGACACAAAATTTTGTGAAATAACCATGAAATAATTTAGGGTTTCTTGCACATTTCATTATATAATCTTATAATTATGAGAATGAAAAAAGTTATTATTTACCCTTGTGGCCCTAGTAGTAGAAAAATATACATTTAATGTGATTAGGTAATGAAATCTAGCCGATTGCAAATTGTTACCTCTATATGTTGTCTTTAAAATATTTAAGCAAGATCTTACCTATTTAAACCAACTCTTATAATACATTTGTTATTTTTCCCTAACCATGATTATAATTCTTTGTGCTAATAAATATTTACACTTAATGGCTTAAAAAGAAAAATGAGGTCCAGGGATGCTAACCCTTTCTAGTTTTTATCTAGCTCTGTAGAAGAAAAAGTTAGCATTTAAAAATATCATATTATATATAAATATATAGAAATGATAGTGAGAATTTTCTTTTGAAAAACCTGTTAAGGAATAGAAATCTTTACTTTTTATATATTTTTAAACAATCTAAGCAAGGAAAGGTAATTGTACTAAACTATTATCTATGTTTATTCATATCATTTTAAAGCATTGTTGCTATTTTTTATTTCGCATAGGCCTATGAAAAGACTTCATTAAGACGTTTTTTGTTAAGATTTTAATAAAACAGTTTTTAAGCAGTAGTTGTTTATTGCAGGTAACTGGTTGAGCTAATTGTGAAGAGAGCACAGCAATCACTTTTTAATGAAATAACATAGGAAGAAGGCATAAATAAGATACCTTTATTTTCAGAGAATCATTACTAACATTTGGTCTTTTTAATGTACTTGTTCGAGCATTTTTCTCCTTTCTTTGAGCTTTTCAAAGTGCCAAAGCATGTTTAAATTTCTTTAAAGTAAATAGCTGAACTGAACTAAGACTAAATTATAACGTGTTTTTCTCTTTTTCTACATTTGAAACTAAATTCTAATTTACTATGCCTAATATTTTTACTATGCCTAAATCACATATGCTACAAATTCATAATAAAGTCAAATGCAAAAGCACAATCTGGAAAAACCCCAAATAACTTGAAGTTGTGTACCAGTTGGTATTTATCTATACATAGCTAGAGCATAGGGACTTATAATCTGGAGTTGATAAACTTTATTTCATGAAAAATAAAATAAATACAAATGCTTTTAACGAATTTAGAATCATGTCAATACTTGTATTTACATGAGAATCCACTTTGTTGGACTCTGAGGCCCACACTTTTCCTCATTATTGGGATGGGCCTATTTGGAGTCATGAAAAAGCCTATACAGGGTGTTCCAGTGAGGGCCTTCAGTACTGATGCCCTTGCCAAGTAAGCCAGATGTCAGCCCACAGGCAAGGGATATTGAGGTCCATAGCTGCCATACCATATTTCTTCAGTTTTTCATTTTTGCTTGTGGTCCAAGTTGCAGCATTTCAATGCTTTGCCCCCATTTCCACACTGTGACATTGCTTTACTGCAGAAATATGAAGAGGAAGCTGTGTGACCCAAAAACAATGATATCATATAAAACATTTATGATTCATGGTAGCTCAACTGCATGGGACAGACAGTTTGATTTTTATGTTTTTATAACACATCTCCAGTTTACATGTTATACTGTGGTTTATATTTGAGGCAAATGTAGAGGCCTTTTATTATAGACAAAAGAAAATGAGAACTTGATGAAAATAAAGAGTTCATCTTCTTTCAAAAAATGCTGATATCATTTCATGACTGCTAAGTTTTTATTATAAATTAAGAAAAATCCAATTGTTCAAAAAATTTATTTTTATTAATTATCTTTATGTTTTTTTTTTTTTTTTTTTGTTGTGATAGGAGGATGATCCTCCTAGTGAAGGGCAAGTGATTAGGATGCCCAATAAAAAATTTCATGCAGATGCAATTCTTTCTCTTCTTGCTAAACAAAACCAGGAGTCAGCAGTTTTACAGCAAGCAGCCTATCATTCAGAGGTACTTTTTAAACTTAATGACTTTTGTTTTGGTTAGATATAAATACAGGAAAAATTAAAATATTCTTACAATTAGTTAAAGCATGCTAGTATTTTATTCAGGGGTCAGTGCTGTAGCAACTTTAACTTGGAGTAATGGGACTGTACAGTTTTATAACTGAAAGAAATTTAGACCACCTGTTTCAACCATCTTGTTCTACGGTTGAAAAAGCTGAAACTTTGTGAGGATTATTCATTTGTTATTCCACCATTTATTGAGCATCCATTATAAATGCCAGATACAACCTTGGAAAAGATACCAAGATAAATTAAGACATGACCCCTACCTTTAAACAGCTTACAGTCATGCAGGAATATAAAGGCTTACACAAGTCATTATTCAACAGTGCAATAACTGATCAAATAGCTGTATTTACAAGTACTGTATGAACACACAGGAGAAAAGACTCTGCTTGAAGTCAGATGACACTTCATATACAATATTATATTTGATGTCAGTCTTTAAAGATGGAGTAGGACTTTGCAGGCAGCAACAAAAGGGAAGGACATTTCAGAAGCAGAAATAGCATTTGTTAGGGATGAGAGCCAAGAAATATTAAAGCATATTAAGTATTGAAAATCTCAGTGTGGCTAGAATTTTAGATAAAGAATCGGATAAGTCTGGAGAAGTAGATTGAACCCGATGATCGTAAAGAACATTTTATTTAGGCCATAGTAAGGCTTGGGTACTGTGGAGCCCATGAAGGTTTTTGGACAAGGGAGTTGCCTTTAGAAGGAGTATGAAGCCATAAGCAAGTGAGGGAGACATGGGGGAACTGTCAAAACACCACTGGAGTAGTCCCAGCAAGGGAGAATGAGAACATGAACAAAGACAGTTATAGCAGAAATAGAGAGGAGTGAGATTTAAATTTAAGGGCATAGCATTAACAGTAATTAGTCATTGTTTGAGAGAGGTCAAGAAGCATTTTTTTTAAGGATAATCTTGAGCTTCCTACCTTCAGAGCCTGGGTGGGTGATTGTATAGCTGTTGGCTTAGAAGTGCAGAAAGAGTGCCAGATATTATGGGGAAAGTAATGAGTTCGATATGCACATTAAATTTAAGGTGCTTAAGGAAATTCCAGGTGGAAATATACAGCATTGTCATTCAGACTGGTTAATGATGGAGCTGAGACTAGGATTCTTGATCTATATTTAGTGCTGTTTCTATTGTATCTGGTTGTCTTTGCATGAACAAATGTGAAACTGGCTTTAGATGAGCTGGAGATCTGAAGCTTATATAGAGTCCAAGGAGATGGTTGGTTTTCTTTTCTTTTTTTATTCTTAAAACTTGAAATGATTAGGAAAGGTAGGAGAAGATATAAAATTTAGTTATGGGAAAAAATGAAAGCTTAACATATTCCTTCTTATTAAAATAATTAAATTTTCTGAAACTTTGCTTAGCTATAGACCAAAAATTGATTTCACCAGAAAAATATTAGTTGTGATGTCTGTGTTGCTGAGTTCGAAAAAAAGTACTCTCATAGCTGTAGAAACTACGATGCTTAGTATTGAAACCAGTAAGCTGAGAGAGAGAGGGGAGGGAGGGAAGAGAAAGTGCATGTGTGTGTGGAAGGGAGAGAAAGAGAAAGAGGGAGAGGGAAGGTGGAAGAGAGAATGAGACAAGCAAATAGTACAAAAAGAGGTGACAAATAGCAGAAGTGTCCACATAATTTATAAATTATGACTAAGTGACTAAGCCCAGTTTTCTTACTTTTGGAAATCACTAATATCAATGTATTTATTCATTCAATTTTATCAGACCTTTTCATCTTTTAGATGCTGGGAAATTTATCTTCATTATTTCTTTCTCTTTTTTTTCCCTTTTACCTCCCTACCCACCGCCCCCCAATTCATTTCCAGGTACTGACACTTTATTTCTGTTTTTCTTATCCCTTAAATTTTCTATCTCTTTCGTTTATTCTCTATTCTGGGAGAGCTCCCCAATCTGATCTGCTGACTACTAATTTGTTCTCTACCATACTGTTTATCCCATTTATCATATTTTTCATATTTGACATTCTTGTTTTCTTTTAATTTTTTGCTTTGCATTTTAGTATCTTTTCTTATCTTCCTCTCTGTGTGTGTCTATCTGGTTTATATCATTTACTTTCTTTTCTGTTTTTTTCTTTTCTTTTTAAACTTATTGACTCCTCAGGTATCTGGTTCTTTTGACCTGTGAGTTCATATTTCACTGATGGGATCAACTATTCTGTCTGAGAATTTGGGTAAGGATAAAACCAGCCTCTGATCTTCAATTCAGAGAATTGAAGAAGAGGGGAGGAGAGAAGCCTGGGGAGGAGAGAAGCCTAGGGAGGAGAGCCTCAGGCATCACAGAGCCACCCTTGGTCACTGTCCCTGCTGTTTGCTGTTACTCCACTATGTAGCTCTTCTGGTGATTATCGTGTCTTTAAACCCTTAGGAAGAAGTTGCTTTGGGCGGGTTTATAATCCACCAGTCCTGGGGTTTGGAGGGGAAGAGGGCAAAGGAATGAATGCCCATGGATGGGCTTCTGGACAGACTTCATCTATAGTTTTCACCATAGCTAGGCTGTCATGTTCCCTGACACTACTCTGGGGCACCAGCATGTACAGCTGGGGTTGTTAACAAAAAGACTTTCATGGTTGAGGGGCAAGCAGTGATCTCAACAGGGAAAGAAACAAGCGGTTTTCTCCAGTCATTCTTCTCACGAAGCCCCTCCAGATCTAGAGAGCCTTCTCCCCAGGATGTAGCCCCTTTCTTTCCACACGTACCAGTTTAAGTTAGCTGTCTGTCTTCCCCAGTGTTTTTTTCACAATTTTTACTTTCTCAGAATCTATGGGTTCTTTTTCACCTCTGTAGTTACTCCAGTGTTGATTTTGAGAACTGGCAGCCTTTGTTATTGTGCTGTCCTGGCTAGAACAGTAACGCAGAAGTTAGAATTCTATCTTCTTCAGATCTTTTTCTAAGCATTTAAGCATTTGTGTATATATATACACAAATATATATATATTTATGTATATGTAGGCACGCGCGTATATGTGTGTGTGTGCAAATATATATATATATATATAT